GAAGTGCTGATTCAAATACAACATCCTTTTGTGGGGTTTAAATCCCAGACAGCAGTCAGTCCAGTTAAGCACCTGTATCCCTCTGCAGCGAATGCGGTAGAGTGGAAGACTATGAAATGCAGTGGGCACAATTGCTGGGGGCGGGCGGTTGTGACCCGTGTCATTGGTGGAAGTCGAGAAAGACCAAGCGCCCTCTCGCACCCCTTCCACCAATGACCCTGGCAAAAACCCAACACCCGTGCCCACTACCTTTAAGGGATCAGAAGGGATCAGAAAACTGTCACTGAATTAGTTCCAGTGCACTATATGAGCTAACTGCTCTGTCAAATAGCATCCTTGAATGGGAAAGTCGCGTTCCTGAAGGAATTATTAAAACGCTGAGTATCTTCACTCTACCTGTTCTTTAATCATCAACTGATGGCTATCTAGCATCACTTCGAACTTTTCCCATTGATCGGTCACTGACGACATCTGATCGACTCCACTGCCTGCGACCGATCGAAGCAACATGTGCTGCTCGTTCAACACGGCCCATGAAGCTTTCAACTGAATTGATTTTGAATTCCTTAGTTAAAATTCTCACGAGTAACCCGTTGGCTTCTTACCTCCTTATTGGTTCGGTTATATTCGGTATGACGAGCATTTGCTTCGGCTACCTCATCTATTGATTGAGGACGAGAGCTGAGAACTTCAATGGCCTGGAAATTCATTAGGAAACCTCCCTGAATGTCAATGGAGCTTAGGTTATCAGTGATGAAACGGGCTCCGTTCACAAGGCACAGTCTACGCTAATTGTATGGACAGAGTCAGGACTGACATTCCCTCCCTTCATTGGCACGCAAAGCTTCGGGATACAAGTAAACTTGGGGGAGTGTCAAAAAGGAGAATTGATTCCGCCTATAGTGCGGCGGTGCTTTTAGACAGGCAAACGAGCGAAAAATTTGGGTGGTAATCATTTACAAAAGACGATAAGGTTCCCCGGCGCAGTTCGGCGATGGGTGAGGGGGGGGCATTTTGTACCTCCGCTGCTTCCTACTGTCTTGCTTATTGCTTTGCAAGAGTTGACCGTGCAAGAGATTCCCTTCAAAAGCTGGAGAGTGGTTTGTGTGAACTTTGATTGGTATCACTTCATAGCTTCTCTAGCTTTCACAGATCTCTGCTTGATGGCTCGGCAATGGGAAGCAGCGGTAGCGAAATGCCCCTCCCCTCTCCCTCCGCCTATAAAGGTTGTCAAAGTGCGCCGGGTCTCCGATTCTTGATTGAAGACACCCCAAAATCATGGTTGAGGAACAGGCTATATGAGGGCGATCTCTTACCTGAGTAAGAAATTGTTGAATAGTTTGCAGCTTGGTGTTGATGCTGAGTCGTAGCGTCCATGTGAGTGTGTCGAACAACCGTTGAAGCAGTTCATCAATGGCTGATTTTGCTCCAGTAGTACTCACAACGATACATTCGAGACGAATCTCACTGCAATGTAGGTGTTTTGGAGATGTGTCTGGTCAGAATTAGATACGATACTTACAGACCCCTGCAAACGAGAAGGTGTGCGAAAAGGGCGTGAAATGGAGCGCAGCCATGGCAGCCTTTCGCGCAATTCGTTGACTTCTCAAAATGGCAGCACTGGTGGAGAAAGCAGCCCTCACTGCATTTCAGTTCACGCCCCGCCATTTGCCCCACCTTTTGCAGAAATCATGACGCTTTTATTCTTACAGGGAGGAAAGCGTTGCCGTGATGGGTAGCCATCTTATCACGCGCACGCTAAGGGGTCAAATCTCAGATCGACTTCCGCTCATCCCGACCAAACCTTCTACCCTCCGGAAATGGCCATTTCCAGACTCGTCTGGATGTATGGAAACACGGAGACGGACTTGGCTAACCCTTTAGGTCATCATCCACAATTCTGAATTGAAGTAGAATGCGTGCCGCATCCCGAAAAGGTATTTACGAGTAGCAGGAGAATTAGCCTTTGAAAGCATGTGGTACCTATCAGACGCCTTGAAGACGTAGTTCACGCGGATCGAATGAGCGCAGACGCTGGTGTGTTTTGCTTTGCACTCTTTTTCCAATAGGAACAACGAGAAAAAAAACGCACTGAAGGGAAAGGCAAAGTGGTTGGGTGTCCCGAATACGCCTGCATCTAATTAAAGTAAGATGTACCTATGTACCTTTCATGAAAGGAAGGATTCGCATAAAGAGCACCCGAAAATTGCCGGTTACCAGCTGTGCTGCACTACGTATCCACACTGTCTTACTGGGGCTAACCAATGCTATTGGTCTACGTCTTTGTCCCACTGGCGGAAGAGAACAACAGAGCGCTTGCGGAGGGTTGAAGGGCTTGGTTGACCTGGACAATATGACATCCAGTCAAGGCAAACCGAGACCCCCTGAGCATGCCAAAGGTACAGA